AACTTGATGGTATTGAGCATTTAGGTAATGAATTCCTTGCCTCATTATACATTTCGCCCTGTGCCCTCTTTAATATTTCAGTTGCTGCATCCATTCCACTGCAGTAAGCACCATGGATTGTGCCACCATGTTCAATACTGTTAGCTTCACCACTGAAGTACAATCTTCCTTCTGGCATTGCAAGATTCCGTTTATCATCAATTGTTAGAGTAGTAGGATTATTAGAAAACATACCAAGAAAAAACTCATCAGTACTCCAGTCATGATACTCGATATCATCATTAGTAATAGTAAGAAGGCTCTCATTTTCAATGTTATACCATTGACGTAATACAGCAACAACCTCTTGCCTCACCTCACCCTTGCTAAGGTGTGATATCCTCATTGCTTCATCACCAGTGACACTCATGAGTACAATAGGAGGTGACCCAGGGAGTGATGCTCCAATTGGTTGTAGAACTGGATAATAGCCACGCTTTGTTGAATTAGTAGCATAAGTGTAGCTAGCACTAATGTTCCAGAAAACATTGGGAAATTTAACAAATATTTTCAAATAAAGACCCATTCTTGAATTAGTAATGGCTCTTATTTTTGCAGGGCTAAGGCTAGTACCTTTGAATTTATTGTTTGCAATCCAATTCTGCAGTACACCAATAGAAAATGTAACAATACCGTAATCTCCACACATTCTGCCTTGCCCCATAACCTCAGCACACACACACTCACTGTAGAGCTCAATACTAGTGACATTAGTATTTGTTAATATTTTATCCTGATGATCACCAAAATTTGCTATCATGCATCGTAGCACTGAAGCAAAACCTCGTTGATCTGTTACTATGAAACATCGTTCGCCAAAATTTACATTATCATTTTCAGCAGTTAAAGACACAACGGATTCATTTGGAGTTGCAGCATATGTGAAATCAAACTCACTCCATTCAATTAATTGCTTTAAGGGAGAATCTGGACGCCAGTTGTTCATATTCAGCCCTTGCCTGACAGTGTTAGTTCCATTAGTTTTTAATGCTTCCTTGTACTTTGCAATATAGTCCATCTCTATTTCACTAGTATTAAAAGTTTCATATTGTTGTGCTTGATTATTAAAATCCATAAAAATTGAACTTTCTGTAAACCCCCCACTAATCAATACATCAACACCCTCTAGATCTACATCGCAACGGTACTGGTTATCACGAGCCAGTGTCCATATTGGGTTGTCGTTATCGCTTCTGCTCCCAGTATTACCTGGTGCTTCGTGGATCCAGTTTGCACCCACCTCGATCTGAAACCCTTTAAAAGTAATATTTCTTATTCTGCCCCCAATTTTATCATGCGCCTCTAGCACTTTGAAACTGTTTAAGCCATGATCGTTGAGGACCCTAGCTGCCGTCACTCCAGCCGTACCAGCACCAAAAATAAGAACTTCAGCATCTGTTCTATATGGGCATTTCGAAGCGGACTCTTTGAGAACAAAAGAAAAAAATAGAAAGAGAAGGAAAAGAAAACGATGTTCCATATCTATGTCCATCGTATCTGTATGCATCGTGATAACTGCTTTAGAAAAATAAGCCCATCACGTGAGCACAGAGCAATCACGTGAGTTTGGCGGGAAGCCGGGAATTGTGTTGGCGCGGGAGATGGAGGGTGAGAATCGAGGTGAGAATTTACTGAGAAAAAGTTGGACTTAATAAAATTGGTTCATGGGGAAGGCCCATCAAGAATCACTTTAGATTCTAACAGGTACATGATATTTTATGGTTTATACCAATCCTCTTTTTTAGACAAATAGCTAGCTGTGGTTTAGACAGTATCAGTGTTGTATTTCATAATGGTGGACTAGAGGAGGATATCATAACTATCAGTTTGATGTGGAGTCCATTGTTGGTGTTGCTGGGGACGTTAATAGTATACTGGACATTGCCTGCCACAACCAGGGGGAGGAGTATATGGTTGCTGTGGCAACCGATGATCACACTGTCCTCTCCTACAGTTATTGCTCTGGTAATGTTAATGATGATCCTTTTGCTGAGGTGAGGAGGTGGTCTTTATATCTAATAATGTGGCAGTACGTAACTATATAGCAGGATATTTTGTTGGTGCTTATTATTGGAAATTGAAAACTTGGAGTATTGGAAAAAAATAAAGCAAACTGGCAAATTTTATTTTTTACGATTTTAGCGTTTATTTGCCCCTCACCAAAATAAAACTTCCTGCTTTATGATAACTAAAATCAAAATTGAAAGTGTTATAATCTACATTATTATTTTATTGTTCATATAGAGTCAGTTCAAGGCAATATTGGTTAGGTTTACCAGCTAAATTAATACCATCGATGTGAGCAGCAACTCTTCAAGACTGGCAGCTGGTGCAAGGTAATGTACCAGTTCTCTCAATATCGCATTATAGTAGCTTCATAATGAATTTTTATCAAAATGATATTTTTTTATCAAAATTTGAACAGCATATGAAGAAAATTCCCAGACAAATTTGATGATATTTTCGACCAAAAAAATTTGGAGCTCACGTGTACACAATGTACATGAACATGCATGTACATGTATACATGGTAGCTATATATAGATCTATGTACTATAAATTGATTTGTTTTTATAACTGTCTGTATTCACTTATTGTTATCATAATTATCAAGAGTATACTCTTATTTACAATTATAGTGATTTCTTAGTTAAGATGGTTGATTTGACCGATACTAGTAAAATATCAACAATGGAAGGACATGATGCACCAGTACTGTGTGTCAGGTTTGATCCTCTTGTTAAATACCTGGTGAGTACATGTTCATATATTTTATACATGTACATGTAATTCATCCAATATTTTGGTAATAATAATTTTTTGTATAGTACATGTATATGTACACATCCAATAACAGGGTTTCATAGAGAGGGGGGGTGGCACTGGGATTTCCCCCCCCCACATTAGGTTTCCCTCCCCCACAAAAAATTCTGTATGAAAGCCTGCTCAATGAAGCTATTAAAATAATTACAAATATACATTGTACATGTATGCAAAAGCTAGCACAGTTTATAGTCCCCCCCACAAAAAATTTCTGTATGAAAGCCTGAATAAGAACATAAAAA